AGAATCACGATTTAACACGACTCAGAAATTGAACAAGTGTGAAGAACACTTGTTAAAAAATCCCTTTGCTTGTTAAAAAATCACATTTTTTTTTTAAAAGGAGAATAAAATATTTTTCTTCTAATCAGTAGTCTTCTGGAAGAAACAAAAATCGAATCGTTTAATATATATAAAATCGCAGAAAATGCAGAACCATTTCTTAACAAACAAAATGAAATTAAATTAAGAAAATTAATAAGTTAATTAATTAAATTCGGAATCACAATTTAACACGGTTCATTTTATATATATCATATAAAAGGATAGTTTTTACACTTTTCGTTATGCTCGAGAGTTTTACTATAGAGTTCGTTAACGGATTAATAGGATATTGTGATTAATCTTTTCCTTTGAGAGTGAAAAAAAAAAAAAAAAAAAAAAAATTAAGGAAACTTGTTTGTTGGTGAAAATGTTCCAAGAAGGAGACTCGATTTAAACTCTATGCACCGCGTAAATTTTATTACAGGGCAATAAAGAAACGTCGTTAAATCGTTTCCAATATATCGTTGCTTCTAACTTTATCCGACGGGGCAACAATGACATCATGATACAACTGCTTTTTTCTTTCTCTCTCTCTCTCTCTCTCTTCTTTCCTCTTTTTTTATATTTATAAACCATCTTTAACACGTTGTTAACACGGGACAAATGGAGGATAGTTGGTGCACCGTGGCGATCTCGATCCAAGCCACGTGTAACGTACGCCTATTTTCGTTGCGTTCGCGGGTTTAAGGGGAGGAGCGGAATTTTTCAGATTCCAGGGAGGCCGAGTCAGCAACGCCGCCTCGTAGCAACCAAAGTAGACACATCTCGCGTGGAACTTATCGGGATCTGGAAAAATATTTACCTTCCGATTAATCAGCGTCCCCTCTGCGACGTGCTTACGGCATCATAATCGTGATCTACGAACGATCCACCGGCCGAAAATAGTGCATCGTACACGTAATTCCTCCCGTACCGCGAATAAACCTCCCCCCGAAATCAAGCCCCGACGATTCTTTTTTTTTTTTTTTCATTACAACGAGCGTCCTTCACGCTTGTTCAATTTTTGAACAAATTGTTAAATTGTGATTCTTAATTTAATTAATATTATTTATTATTAATATTAATATTATTTATTAATATTATTTATTAATCTTCTTAATTTAATTTCACTTTGTTGTACTTTGTTGATTAGTTAAGAGATGGTCTTGCATTTTCTGCGATTTTATATATATTACGTAAGATGATTCTATTTTTTTTTTCTTTCAGTAAGAAGAAACTAGAAGAAAAATATTCTATTGTTCTTGTATTTAAAAAAAGTCCTTGTTCGATTTCTGAACCGTGTTAAATTGTGATTCTTGATTTAATTAATTTATTTATTAATCTTTTTAATTTAATTTCACTTTTTTGTACGCGTTTCTTGATTAATTAAGAAATAGTCTTGCATTTTGTGCGATATCTATATATATTACGTAATTCTATTTTTTTTCTTCCAGACTACTAACTAGAAAAATATTCTATTCTCTTTTGTATTTAAAAAAAATTGCGATTTTTTAAATTGTGATTCTTAATTTAATTAATTTATTTATTAATCTTCTTAATTTAATTTCATTTTGTTGTACGCGTTCCAGAAGACTACTAATTAGAAGAAAAATATTCTATTCTCTTTTGTATTTAAAAAAATTGCGATTTTTTAAATTGTGATTCTTGATTTAATTAATTTATTTATTAATCTTCTTAATTTAATTTCACTTTGTTGTACGCGTTGATTAGTTAAGAAATGGTCTTGCATTTTCTGCGATTTTATATATATTACGTAAAACGATTCGATTTTTGTTTCTTCCAAAAGATTACTAATTAGAAGAAAAATATTCTATTCTCCTTTGTATTTAAAAAAAATTGCGATTTTTTAAATTGTGATTCTTAATTTAATTAATTTATTTATTAATCTTCTTAATTTAATTTCACTTTGTTGTACGCGTCCCAGAAGACTACTAATTAGAAGAAAAATATTCTATTCTCCTTTGCATTTAAAAAAAAAATGCGATTTTTTAACAAGTATAAGTGTTCTTCACACTTGTTCAATTTCTGAACCGTGTTAAATTGTGATTCTTAATTTAATTTCACTTTGTTGTACGCATTCACATTGTACAATTTTATATATTAATACGTAAGCCGATATAAGGCATTTTGTCCTTTCTTCGAGCCTCGTATTAATCCCAATTTTTCAAAAATTAAATTCCAGACCGCTGAGAAAAATATTCCGCTTATAATACATGTATACTCTCTCCTTCGTATCTAAAAAAAAAAAAAAAAGAATCATAAGTGGAGAACAATATCTGGATCTGATCAAGGAAACGGAGACGAGTGGCGAGGTGAGAACAGGAGCGCGTCACCGGAAAACATCGTTCGGGCAAGGTCGGCCGATTTCCGTTACCGCGGTTGCGTGTAAACGATCCCCCGTGCTTACAGAATGGCCGTGGTAAACAGAAAATAACAGAAGCGTGGAGAAACCTCGGTGGCGAAGTAGCGTTAACTCAACCGACTTTAGTAGTTTGTTATTTCGGTTTTGCCGTTAACTCCCGCGTAGCCAGCGACAAGAGACATTCGCCAGACCACCGCCGTCCAAAACCATTCCGTCCTCCTCTTCCTCCTCCTCCTCCTTCTCGTGTCCGCGATCCCCCCTCTCCTCCTCCTTCCCCCATCCTCGCGCTTCGAAATAACCGAAACCCGCCGATGTATTATCGCGCCGTGGTGACGTAACAGGCCTCGTGGCCTGGTTGGATACGTATAATATCTAATATCTAAGGACTGGATCGAGCGCGATGATCGACTCAAGAGTTGTTGGAGCTTGTATTTTTGTAATCGATTTTTTGCATCGAACGTTCACGTTGTAATATTTATTGGGATGGAATGGAAAAGGTTTGAAAAGAAAACTCGTACAGTGTGATTTTACAATACTTTGAAATTTTCTATTGGAGATTCGAGTTTCTCTCAGAATGGAATATTTGCAAAATTACCTAGTTGCAGGATAAACAAGGATAAAGCTTTCCCTTCGAGGCAGCAAAAATCGTTGACGAAAAGCTTGGAATTGTGATATTTATATTTATATTTTAACCCTTCATTGCATGAATTTTTAAGACGAGTTGAAAAAAAATATGTATTGTTAGTTTATTTAAAAATGAAGTAAGTAGTTAAATTTTGTTAGAAAATGTTATTTATTGCATTTTCCCTGTATGAGAACTTTATGTATATTTTCCATAAAACATTGACAGGTGCATCTCTATGCGGGAACACAAATGAAATTTAAGTTCCCAATTGGGAAAGAAAGTGCAATAGAGGGTTTGAAAAAAACTACGTACAAGGAGATTGTAGCTCTCACTTGATTTTAAATACTTTTAGTAATTTTCTATTGAGAATTGGAATTTGAGAAAATTTCTCTCAAATAAAAAAGGGCGCGATCAATATTCGCAAAATCGGGGGATTCCACTTGAACTAAAAATCCCCTAGCAAGTACAAGCAAATATAAAGCATCAGACCCTCTCCTTGGCAAAAGTCAACCTTGAAGCGACGTAGCGAGAGGAAATTAATACCTCTCGCTTGATTTTAAATACTTTTTATTGGGGAAAATTTCTCTCAAAAAACCAATATTCGCAAAATTCCCTAGGACAAATCTTTCCCTCGAAGCCAAAAATCCTTGACAAAAATCCTTGAAGCGACGTTGTAGCAGTATTTTAATTGATCCTTTATCTTTCGAATATTTGTCACGTTACTATGAAATATTTGAAAAAGACTCGAAAAAATTCTAGTCACTTAATTTTAAATACTTTTCTATCGAGGATGGAAGCTTCTCTTCTCAGAATAAGAGTGAAATAAGAAAGAACGTAACCAATATTCGCCTAGCCACGAGCGAGGATAAATCTTTCCCTCCAGCAAAAGTCCTTGACAAAAGGCTTGGCGCTGCGTTATCGTATCTCGCCCCGATCAAAACGATTCGGCCATTTTGTCGAATGGGAATAACCGCGCGTGGAATTTGTGCGTCGCCGTATCATCGTCGCGACGCGACGGGACGATCAAAAGGTCTTTACGTACCACGGTGAACGGAACATACCCGTGGCTTCCTTTTCATCCTCTCCACCATCCCGGCCCCCCCTTTATTTAACAGAATATACACGTACAATGGACCACACGCATTTCTCGTGACCTCGACGCGGATATCCCTTCTTACAGGGTCAGGGGCGTGTGTCATCTATCTTGGGGAGGTTCATATTCACTCGGTGACACTAATGCCTGCTTTCTCCGCTTTATCTTCACGACGCGTATTTTCTTCTTCTTCTTCTTCTTCTTCTTCTTCCTTCTCCTCTTCTTTTTTCTTCTTCTTCTTCTTTTTTTTTCTTTTCTTTCCTTTCGTTGCTCGACGACAGGCAAATGATATTTCGGATATAAGCGAGTTTGACGGGTTCTTTTGTACGAGGATGGATTTTTTTTTTCCCTCCGTGTAACGATGTCTCCTCGACGATAGGGTTTATCTCGATGATAGGGAAATTATTTGAAGATTGTAGGAGTGTGATAAAGTTGAGGGTTCTTTTTTTTTTTTTTTAATGTGTGTCTTTTTGACGGTTTATCTTGGTGATAAAGTGTCTTTTGATACTGAGGACAGGTTGTCTTTTTTTCTTTTAGCGTGGTTTGTTTTATTCCTTCAAGGATGGGATCATGGGATTTTCGAGTGGTTTGTCGAGAGATCGCCGGTTTTTCGAAAGTAAATCAACGTTTTTTTGTCACTGGGAGACGATTTAGAGATTCACTAGAGATTTAGATTTAAAGTGAAAAATTGGAGATTTTTAGTGGAGAGTAGCTTAAGAATATATCGTAAATCGAAAATTCGCAGTTCTACCTGATAGAACTTGTCTGTGAAATTTCTATATATAAAAATTTAGAGATTTAAAAACTTGTGAAATGACGATGAAAATGTTTAATTTCAGTGGCCAACGTGGTTCTACAGGCCGGATTTCCCTCTCGGCACTCAACTGCCCACCGGCCACGTATCGAATCCAAGCAACGTTCCTACTTCGTCCCCTCTGTGCCCCAGGACTCACTTGCAATCAGAGGCGTCCAAGGTTCCCGAATTTCTCGATAGCAGCAAAATCCACGGTCAAACGCCGACGATATGCACGGTAAGACGAATAATAAAATATCCTCTTTGATCGTGATTCTGACGAGCAATAATTTTATCTACATTCCATCGTTTAAAACTCTTCGTTTAAAACTCCCCATCCTTTCGCCATTTTTCAGAGGAGAACATAAAAAAGTGTCAACGAATTCTTCCTTCGAATTATTCCAAAAATTCCCTACACGTAAAAAATCCATTCCCATTATTATCCTATATTTCTTTCTGTCTATCATTATCCTTTTCCAATATACTTCCTTCTAACAACCAAACGCAACGCGATCTAAAAGGCATCGCGATGGAAGAGACAGTTCGAGGGATAATTTTCCTCTCTCGAGATAATTTCGAACGAGGGATGACTGATTTCACAGATGATACTTCAAAGCTCGTCTCTTCGGAATAAACGCAAGAATTGAAGTAAAATGGAAGGAAAACGCATCGAGGGATGTCGCGAGAGGTGTCGAAGAGGTCGATAGATTGAAACGTTCGCCTCGATCGATAATGGGCTGCCCTAAATGGCGGTGAGAAAGAAGAGCCTAGTTATTAAAATTCCTGTCGGTACGCTGTCACCTGCGTTGAAATTATCGGCTGATTGATTGCCCGATAATTTTTACCTCCTCCCCCTCCTCTCGTTTCTAGGAAAGCAAAATGGCTCTCCATGGCAGGATACTTTAAGAATCTTTTCTTCCTTATAATAGTATTATAAATAATGCTATTAGAGTTTATCTCTATAGCTTGTTAATTTAATAGTTAATTATAATTATAATAATTATAAATAATGTTATTAGAATGTTCCGTAAGTTTCGTTCTATCTTTGATACGAAACGAATACGTAAATATTTGTTGTCGATTTATCAATATCATATATGAATCGTTTTGTTCTATCTCTTTCCAAAATTGTTGGAGCTTAATTGGAAAATAATCTTCGAGGGAAATTTTTAATTCGTTTATGGATTGGAATCGTTTATCGAGGAGAGAATTTTTTAGAGAATCTTTTCTTTCGTTTATCTTACTTGTTAATTTAATAGTATTATAAATAATGTTATTTAGAGTGTCCCACAAGTTTCTTTCTTTTTTTTTTTTGACACGAAATGAATATATGAATGTTTGTTGTTTAAGGTTGATTTATAAGCGTTATATATATAAATAGTTTTGCTTTAATA